TTTGCACCAGCGCCCAGGGCGCCGTCCTGGAGTCCCAGGATCGAGTGCCACATCGGGGTCCCAGCATGGAGCCTGCTTCTCCCTCTACCTGTGCCTCTGCCTCTCTATGTCTGTCATAAATAAATAAAAATAAATATTTAAAAAAATCTTTGAAAAAAAAGAATTATTATTGGGAAACTGGACAGAATCATGAAAGGAGAACCGATAATTTTATTTAGAATTATACAAATTACTTTTATTGATGTTTTCTGATTATAAAACTCTTGTCTAATGGCTTTATAAGATGTGGAAAATCCAGGAAAGTTTAAATCACCAAGATAAAAAGGACAAAAATCTCACCACCCCATGGCCATAACTGTCTTTTTTTTTAAGATTTTATTTATTTATTCATGAGAGACACAGAGAGAGGCAGAGATATAGGCCAAGGGGGAAGCAGGCTCCATGCAAGGAGCCCAATATGGAACTCCATCCCAGATCCCATGATCACACCCTGAGCCAAAGGCAGATGCTCAACTGCTGAGCCACTCGGGCATCCCAACTCCACGTTTTGATCTATTTCCTTCCAATCTCTTTTTCCTACAATTTTTAGTAAGAACAGGAAGCCTATTTTTATTACTAGCAAACTTCAGTGGAGAACCCGGGCTGTGCAAGGGGGGTGACATACACATTTGCTGGTGTTTCCAACAGCTCCAAAAGCCAGATGTTGCTGAAATTGTAGAAACTGAGTCCTAGAAAGGTGACTTAATAATTTGTCAGAGTGAGGTTTCAAATCCTCGTCTCACTCCCAAGGCAAAACGGTTTATGAAATGGATTCCCAGCTGAGGCCTTTTTGTGGATTTTATGGAGAGAAGGAAAATTCCAGAGAGGGATGTGGGAAGGTTGATGCTGTTCTTAGTGAGAGTTGGATCGATACAGTTTATTATTACACCAGACCTACTGAAAGAAATCTCATTTGTATATAGACATTTCCAAAGCAGGAGTGATTTCTCCATGAATCCAAAATATCACTGTCATTGTAAGCTGAGTAGAAAGAAACGGACAGATAGGCTCTGAATCATCTACAAAGCCACTCAGCTGGGGGTGTACCAAAAAAGAAAGAGTAATTCTTAGACAGTTTGGGCCATGTTCAACGCAGCATGAGCCTGGGCAATGTCTTGATTTCCAGGGATGTCCAGCAGCAGACAAAGTTATAGCAGCTCTAGCAATATAGCTATTGCCCAGACATGAATAAATGACAGTGAGGACAGAAATGTAGTTGTAGTTCTGCTAAAAACCTTTGGGCTCAGATAACCATATATATTAAGCAATCCCTATGCTAGCCCTTCCTGTACAAGATTTGGGGCATTAAAATACGTACATACAATAAATGGCTTCCCTGCCCACAAAGAGTTTCATCCAGTCAACAAATATTTATTGTATTTGTATAGCACCTACTATGCGCCACTGTATAGACCAGATATGGCAGTAAACAAAACAATTAAAGATCCCTACCCTATAGAGCTGGTTGTTGAGTGGGAAAAGCTGGACGACAGTCAATAAACATAATTGAGACAAGTTGTGCAAATTCCACAGAGTCCCACAATTTGGTATGAAGTGCAGGCTTTTACGGAAGCTCGTAAGTGATGGGTTAACAAGAGGCATGGGGTCGCTCAATCTACTGTTCATTCATTCACTCATTCAGATTTTATTTATTTGAAGGAGAGTGAGCAAGACAGCGTGCATGTGCACAAACACAAGTGAAGGGAGGGGCAAAGGGAGAGGGAGCAGCACACTCCCCGCTGACCAGGGAGCCTGATTAGAACCGGGAGTCCAGGACCCCCGGGGGATCATGACCTGAGTCCAAGGCGGACGCTTAACTGACTGAGCCACCCAGGCACCACTACTATTCATTTTAAATTCACTTATTTGCAGTATGAGCGTTTGCTTTTATTTTACTTTTTAATTTCATTTTTTAATTTGTAAAATGTTTATACTTTTCACTGTACTTAAATAAGTCTTCTCCACTATCATCCATCTCTTCAGTCCTTTATCCTGCTCCTTCTAGAAGGTGATTTTTACTAATTTTTTACTTAACCTTCCAAGGCCTTGGTTTTGGCAGAAATAAGCAAACATTCATATTTCTCCTCCTTTATTACACAAAAGACAGTATTCTATATATGTCTTTCACTAATCTTTTGTTCTGAATTTTGTTTCTAGAGAGCTGTTTCTTTTTATTTTTTTAACAGCTATTGTGTTTTCTCTTTTGCTTTATTTAACAAGTCCCCAATTGCTGAATATATGTTTTTAATTGTTTGCTATTATAAATAATGTCATAATGAATAACTCCCTGCACACAGTGTTTCAAATTTCTAGAGAATCTTAAAAGTAGAATTGCTGTCCACTGGTGAAACAAATGTAGCTTTATTAGTTCCAGATTATTCTTTATAGAGGTTGTACCATTTTGCACTCCCAACAATTATGACAGCAACTGTTTCTCTGCAGCCTCACCAACAGAGGGTATTAGCCAACATTTTGAGTTTTGCCAGTCAGATAGATGAGCAGTTATATATTTTTTTAGTATAATTGACAATGCTGTACTAGTTTCAAGTGTACAAGGTAGTGATTTGACATTATGCTATGCTCACTGCAAGTGTAGTAGCTACCACCAGTGAGTAGAAATATTTTAAAATACTTTTTTAAAAAAAGATTTTATTTATTCATTAGAGAGAGAGAGAGAGAGAGAGAGAAAGAGAGGCAGAGGGAGAAGCAGGCTCCATGCAGGGAGCCTGACATGGGACTTGATCCCGGGTCTCCAGGATCACGCCTTGGGCTAACGGTGCCGCTAAACTGCTAAGCCTCTGGGGCTGCCCTAAAATACTTTTTAAATTCGTTTTCCTCTTAATATAAGATGGAGTAGCTTTTGAGATAGAGGCCATCCCCTTAAAAAATTTTTTTTTAAAAATTTTAACCACCAAAAAAAAAAAAAAATTTTTAACCACCTGTTCATATCTTTTGTCCATTGTGCCTCTTTTTCAGGAAAGTACTTTGGAAACTTTTCTGACTCCGGGGTGGGGGGGGCATTTTTAATGTGGTCACAATAATTGTATTTATCAACTTGGAGAGAACTGGCATCTTCTTGATGCTATATTGCCTAACCCAAGAAGGTAGGATGTCTTTTTATTTGTTCACCTCTATTTGTGTTTCACTGAGTGCTTTCAAGTTGTCCTCCTATCTGTCTTGCACATTTCTTTGCATCCATTTGGTAAAACCGCAACAGGATGCAGCTGACCATGGTTGGAGAAAAGCCCATGGTCATGCTGACTGGTCTTACTTTAAATGTATTACCACAGACCACAAGCGGTACCTTCTTGCTCCTAGCCAGTCACACTGCCCTTTCAGCATCCAGGTCCCCACCCCCCAACAGCGATTCACATCCTCTCCCTTCCCCATATCCTCCCCACCCCCCCACCTTGTTCAGCTGATTTGTTTTCTATCTCCTTGAGAAATAAAATCAACAAAACCCGAAAAATCAGAAGAGAGCTTCTGCAGTTTTCCTTTGGGATATAAACACCAGCCACCCAGATTCAAATCTTTCACACACTCTCCCTCTAGGGAAAAAAAAAAAAAAAAAAAAAAAAAACTCCCAACAGATTAATAAAGAGGGAGGGAGAACACTTTTCCATTTAGATGTAAGTGGGACAGTAGAAATCCAAGGGCAGCCTTCACTCCTGAGCCCAGTCCAGAAGCCCAGACTTGTGAGAATTATGTGGAAGAGAAAAAGAGCAGTGGGGTCTTGCTGCTAGTAGAACCTAAATATCAGCCTGGGCTCACCGCCAGAGATGAGTAGCAGAATACAGATCTAAGACCATGAGCTGCTTCACTCTCCTCCATGGGGCCCACAAGGAAAGGGTGGACCTTCCCCATATGTGTGTGCTCCATCATGACCACTGCAGACTGGAGGAGGCCTGGGTATGCCAGGTTCACAGCAAGAGTGAAGGCTCCCTTATCATTCCTATTCAAGTCTAGAGGATGTGTGAGGGCTTAGCTGCCATGGCTGAGGCTTCTTTTGAATCCACTTGATGGGGTTGAAGGCCTAGAGAATTGAGAGTCCCTCTGAGAAAACAAGATAAACACCAAGCAATTAGTAAACAAGACAGGATAGAGCTTGTTTATATTTACACACTGATATATCTACTAAATTATGCAGTACAGACAACCCAGAAATAGGATAGTATATAATAAGGTCCTGATCATAGGATGTCATGGATAAATACAAAAGATGCTGGAGAATGGACAGATCTCATAGGTGGAGCCATTAGGTCATGGATATCTTGATAAAAAAGCAGCAGTTAATGCTAGATTCTTATCTCTGGCATAAAGATTGTCAAGAAGGCTTGCCACATAGACCTAAAGATGAGCAGGACAGAGGACCATTGGTACATTGGTGACCTTAAGATTATCTGATTGATGTGTTTTTTAGGAAGGTCTCAATTTAGCCAGCAGAGGGCAAAAGAACACAGAACCATTCCAAGATTTATGATCCGAGAAATGTTTGGAATAGAAGGACTCTATAGGTGTCTTTGCAAAACTAAAAAACAAAAACACCACAGGTGTGATTCTTTTGAATGATCATATTTAAAAACAGCATTTCCAAGGCAGTGACTAATTACCGTTGACACTGTAACAAATTCTTGTTTTATAAAAAGTCAGAATTTATTTAAATGGTTTAAACGATGCATTTCTTTATAGAGCCTTAAATGCCTGACAAAAATATGGGAATGTGTCTAAATAATTTAACCTAAATTTTAAGAAATACTTTTATTTGAAAATCTCACAGAAATAAAGTCTCTGAAACGTTAATAAACATGCATAGCCGTGATTAATTTTACAAATCTAAAAAATGGATTTTTTTTCTTTTTTTAATTTTTTTATTTATTTATTTATGATAGTCACAGAGAGAGAGAGAGAGAGAGAGAGGCAGAGACATAGGCAGAGGGAGAAGCAGGCTCCATGCACCAGGAGCCCGATGTGGGACTCGATCCTGCGTCTCCAGGATTGCACCCTGGGCCAAAGACAGGCACCAAACCGCTGCACCACCCAGGGATCCCTGGATTTCTTTAAAGAATGTGATGCTACTGTAAATACAGAATGCAGTGACATTTGTTAAATGAGCTAACAAGTGTCAAAATGTTAAATGGGTTGTTGATTAAAGATGATTATGCATTTAGCCTACAGGTTAGTAAGAATGGAGGTGGGGAGAGGGAGAGAAGGAAATGCCCTTTCCAACAGACAGAGGGCAAAAGCAGGCTTAGACCCCAACAGAATCCCGAGGCCAGTGGCCATGTGTTCCCTCCAGTCAGTTTCCGGTCCGGTCTTCCTTTCCTGCTGTTCACCCCTGCAATTGCAAAAAGTACATTTACTATTCAAATAAAGCTTCAAGCCCACAGACTTCAGACCCAGAAAGACAAACTGCAACAAGGTTTCTCCAGGCATACTGTTAAAACACTTACCTTAGGTGTGGCAACCGAGTAGCAAATTCCCTGAGTTGGAAGTCTGAGAACCAGGGTTCTGGCTGGAGGGTGGACACTAGGAGGGTAAACCACTGACTCTCCACTCTGCAGTATTTTTCATCTACAGGATAAAGGTGTGAGGTTAAGTGATGTCAAAGATCCCTACTGATTCACAGATTCTAAGATTTCTGTTTATTTTGTCCCCATCTTATACTCCTCCATCTCAGTTGATATGTGAGCTGGTAAGCCTATAGGATGCTAGTCTCTGCTCAAGAAAAATATGTAATTTAAGAAAGAACTCTTAAAGACTCTGAGAAAAATAATCTTTACCAATAGAACTGTAGATCTGAAAGCAGGATATAAGAAAATTTATCTGCTGAGTAGAAGATTTTGATGGCCATTCAAAACACTTTTTATTTTTGTAAAGATTTTATTTTTTAATTTTTATTTTTGTAAAGATATTATTTTTAAGTAACCTCTACACCTGACGTGGGGTTCAAATTCACAACCTCGAGATCAGGAGTTTCACACTCCGCCGCCTGAGCCAGCCAGGCACCCCCAAACCACACTTTTAGAGCCCAGCTTTTACACATATCAAGTCTGCTTTTACACATACCAAGCCTTACTGAACTGTAATCATTAGGGCTCCTAGGTCACTGAGTAATCAAAGCACTAACTAAAGGAATTAATAGAAGGCAAGATGGCCCATTCTAACACTCCTCCAGGCAATGGTGTGAATGAAGCATTACCTCCTACCCAAACTTTAAACCATCTGCAGCGGCTGAAAAGCATTCAGCTTTAAGTAACAGAATATTCAACCACAGAAGCTTAAGCCATAAGGAACAAGAAGCTCTGAGCTCGGCTCTTCCAGGGGTGGTCATCAGGTCAGTAGTTTCATCCACATATTTAACACCTGATGCTCACAAGGTATCTGCCAGGTTCTAGGCAGCACAGTCTCACGTAACAGCTCCTTGAGCAGGGACAGATGAGTAGACAGGTGTAACTTTCTTTTCCAGCAGATTTTGCTCTTATTAAAGGGAAAAATCTTTCCCCCAGACTACTTGCTCTTACACTTCATTGGCCAGAACTAGTTTACATTTATTTCTTAACAGTTATGGATGCCAGGAAATCCAAGATCAATGTGCCAGCCAAATGCAAAAATCCTCAAAAAAATAATAGCAAACCAAATTCAACAGCCTAATAAAAAGGATCACACAACACAAAAAAGGAGGATTTATCTGTAGGATGCAATGATGGCTGAACCTACACAAATCAATAAATGCTACACACCACATTTAACAGAATTTAGAATGAAAATACTATGATCATCTCAATAGATGTAGGGGGAAAAAGCATTTCTTTTATAAGGGCACTAATCCCATTCACAAGGGCTACACCTCATGCCCTAATTACTTCCCAAAGACCCCACTCCAAACACCGGCACATTGGGGATTCGGGCTCCAACAGGATATTGGGGGTGGGGGCTGGGGCATACAGACACTCACCACCCACCAAAAGAGTTTTAACATTTAATTTTCTATTCTGTTGCTTAGCCTGTTGTGTTTCTCTTGCTCTTCTGTTAAAAGAAGAGTCTTTATGTTGAATCAACAGCCAGGTTATTCCCAGGGAAGTGACTGGAGACATTTCTTGGGGAAGATTCTCTTGGCAGACCAACAATATGCATACTATATGTTTCCACAGCTGCCCAACAGAGTGCAGCACTGCACTGCTCACGCCCTCCTGCGGGCGCAACTGTACCAGTTGCCAAATTCATTTCTTCTTTCGAAACGTAGAACATAGTTCACTCTGAGCTTCTGCCTGTTTAAGAAGTTAGAGCCAGAACCTTAGACAAAGGGATTTTAATTGCATGCTGATAAAGTGTCAAAACTATTGTGCATAAAATAGCTCTGGATTTTTTTTTTTTTTTTAAGAAAAAGATGCCTCCAGGATTACAAGATAAAGATTTCCCCGGTGAGTGAAATCTGTTTTGTAAGTCATCAGAAAATCTTCAACCTATGAGCAAATTCTCATATTTTCTTCTATAAGCCTTATACCGTGTCTTTCTACTTTTTGGACTGCACAGTAACACAATACACTAAAATGAGTGTTCTGCAAATTTGGTTAACCTATTTTTAACTTTAAGTGGTAATTTTTACCTCCCTGTGAAAACCTTAATGATGAATAAGGGCCACTGTTTGGGAAAGTTGCTTACTCCACAGAACACAGCTGTTCTGCCTCATGTTAAAGCATGAAGAGCTGAATCAGAAGGTCACCTTCTCTAACAGTCTTTCTCGCTTTAAAAAGAAAACATCCAGAGACAGCAAGGAAGTGGCGTGCTTTTCAAGGTCATCCAATAAGAGAAAAAGAGTTGCTCTAGGTTAAGGCAGAGCTTTTCAACCAAAGCAAGGTCCCACCACGGGTACCCAGAATAGCCGGGGTGGGCTCTAGGGTTTACAGAACAATTGCTAGAATTACCTAGAAATACAGAATCATCTCCCAAGGGGAGTTTTTGTTTCTACGAGGTAAGACACATTCTTCGAGGGAGTGATTAATGAGAGGCAAGATGCAAAAGGTCTAAGGCACTTGTCACCATCCTAAGTATAGCATTTAAGCGACAAGCAAAAATGTATATATACATTTCTATTTGAAGGGATGCCCTTCAGGCACCTAGCTTACTCTGCAGTCCAACTGGCTCTTCTTAATTTCAGCAAAACAGTATATATCTCAGCTTATAAAAACCTGTTCATCAAGTCTGAAGTTACACAACAAAGGAACAAATACCCTACTATTCTCATGATCAAATTACAAGTGCCTTAGCTGTTGGAGTGCTTTCCCAGGCAGCTTGCAGCCCATGAAAACCTCTAACTCCTCTGTTAGACCCCTTAGGGTCCACAGCGGGTGCCTCCTTCTTTTGGCTAATGGTGATGGCAAATGAACCCCCAGGTCACATGAGGGTGCTCACCTCCGCTTTAAGGGAAACCCCGTGTTGGGTCCCGGTGGAGATAAAGAAGTTCCCTACGTGCACGCATGGACTCCTAAACTTGTCAGAGGTTATAGCCACGCAACTATGAAGCAAAGATGAAGTGTGCCTGTCAATGCAAGATTAACTGTCAAACGTTTAAATAAACTTTTTTGAAGTTTGACATACATGCGGAAAATTACACAACTATGAAGAGTGCAGCTCAGTGGGGAATTCCTGTCAAGGAGCCAGATCATAGGGGAGTTCGCTGAAGCAGCAGCCAGCACAACATGAAATGTTGTGGGGGGGGAGAGAGCGGTCAGGGAAGAGCTTCGTGTGAAACCAAAGTGAGAAAACGTGACACATGTCCCCCACAGAAAAACTGGTGCCCATGTTCCTCTAAAAGGCTAACGCTGCCAGCACCCAGGAAGAGAAGGGAGGCCCTCATACCAGCTGTGGACAAGGGGTGCCTGGTTTCCAAACTGACATCTACATTCCTGACTTAGTCAAGATAGTAGTTTTTAATACCTGAAGACAAGACTTCAGATAACTGAAAGAGACCAGAAATGGATGTCATTTGCCCAAGATGTCCACAGAGCCAGAAAAGAAAATCCAACATGTTGTGTTGAGGACAGCTCATTTTGTAAAGTGGCTACATAAGTTTGACCATCCAGAGCCAAGAGATGAAAAAAAAAAAAAAATGTCTGCTGACTCTCATAAGTTTGTATGCAGCCTAGGGAGGCTTTGGATTCCGAGGCAGGGTTTTCGATGAGATAAAGAGGTCTTTTAAATAAAGTCAAAGGGTAAGAGCAAGGTGACATAAGATTCTCCTCAAAACTTCAAAGCAAAAAAGATTAAAACGACACCGTGGACACCTTGACCATCCTAAGAGTAGACTGAAGTTTTGAGTATAGTCAAGGTTTTTTCCAGAAGCTAGGAAAAATAATCTCCTTGACTAGTTATCACTTATGTACCTGGCCCTGTCACACCACATCTGGAGTCAAATATTTCATTCCAGGGGCCTCCCTTTCAGAGGGAAGTGGCCCAAAAGTAATAGAAGAATTTTAAACAGGAGAGGAAGGAGATTTGGAGCCCTAAAAAACAAGCAAGTGGAAGGAAGCTGGGATGTTGAGTCTAAAGAGACTTAAGGAGCCCATTTCAAGAGCTGTGACTGGCATCGTGGTAGCAGTCACTCTGTGTGCCTCTAGATGGCACACCTGCCACTTCGTGAGGGGCGAGAGGGTGGTTGGTTTTGTCTTTAGAACCATTGTGTCAAAACAACCCCTAGCTATCTTTTAGGGGAGAGGGTCATCTTAAGGTCTAACAAGCAAGGCCATTCCCTGCTGGGAGCTCCCTCTCCCTTGAAACATCCAGCGACAAGAAGATATTTATTCTTCACACATGGAATTGGAACTCAAGGTTGAGAAGCAGACAATGAATGAAATTGGATATTGTAGGCCTTGTTTTCCTATGTCTGCCTTTCAAGGAAGAAAAATCTTCAGAGCTGGCTCCTGGGAGGGCAATGAGAGGGTTCTCACACATAGTGAGGTTGGTCAGAATCAAAGAAAAAAAAATCAATAGAACTCAATGTAGTAGAATTCAAATAGAATTCCATATAATAATTTCAAGGTATTTTCAAGGCCCTCAGATTCCCATATTCTTGTTGATATCACCAATTTGGAATTGCAAAGAGATATGGGGGTTTCTGGCCCCATGGATCTTGGGGTGAGCAGTGAATAGTAGTGAACAGTTGGGGGTGAAGAGCAGATAGTAGCAGAGCAGAAGCCCTGAAGTGCCAGACAGAGCCATATGCTTTTCTCATCAGCCACTCAACCAACTTTGGATGTCATCATTGAAACCTGTGGGACACAATTTTGAAATGTGTAAAAACAAGACTAAAACTCTTTGGCAAGCAAGATCCTAAATCTCACATTCACCTAAGAACTCTTCCCTCCTACTTCCTCTCCTCCTTTTTCATAGAGTCTATAGTATACTTTAAGAGCAGCATGAAAAATAAACTGCTTTTAGGCCCTTTCAAAGAATCGTTTTGAAACCTTAATGGTAGATTTATGGTAGGGATTTAAAAATGGACTATCCACCCTAATCTAATACTAGTCTTTTGGTACAAGGATACCAATGGATGCACTGCCATTATCATAGGA